CCACTTCGCTAATAATCGCGGCTTTATTTTCGAGACTTCTATTACGCAAGCCAGCCGCTACAATGCATCCACCATATGAGATGCACAAATATAAAATTACCAAGTTAGATCGTATCACTCCACACAAAAGAGTCCACGTTCAAATAATGAAAAAGTTTGCTGTCCAAGCGTATGTTTCTGTTATAACATAGGAGAAAGGCTAACGTAGGTTCACAAAAGTAACACCTTTATAAGTTTTCCATTTGACGCATGAGTCCTAATGAGTTTCCAAACATAGCTTAATGCTTCGACATACAAAACTCATTTTCAAGAAAATAAAGAGGTAAAATTCAAAAGGGGTGCGCCTATTCTTGGTACACGTAACTATAAATAGAAAGTAACCGCATTCATATAAACAAGTCAAAGATTAAAAACTTGAAGAAGCTCCTACACAGAAATGTAGAACAATATATAGTAGTAAGAATGCACGAGAAGCACAAACAGAAATTGTAAGAAGTCTCATTGGAAAATTAAGAAAGTTAACACTATTTTCATTTCCTCATTACCCCACTACCCAAAATTTAGAATTTCATAAACTGATTTGCACTTTTGTAATTATTCAGACACTGTTATGTTGGGATCTTTCTAAGAGGATAGATTAGAGAAATTCACCACCAATGAGACGTCGGTTGTCATACAAGAGATATGACATCATCTTCAATCCAAAACCATAATGTTGTGTTGGGGATCTTTTTTCCTTGTTTGTTACTCAACTTTCTCTTTTCCACTCAATGTAAGTCTTTTAACTCGTATTTGGATTCTAAAACCGTTGAAATCCTTCTAGGGAGATAAACTAGAGATTCACTACCAATGAAATATGAGTAGTCATACAAGATATCATAACACCACCTCTAACCCAAAACCCTAAAATTATGAGTTACTCAATGTCATATGAAACTTTCAATTCATAATTGATTCTTAACATGATATTCCTACACAAACAAATGTTTACATTAAAAACTAAATTTGAGCAATATAATATATTCCCAAGTTTGCAATACCTTGTACTGTGAGACGCTTAGCAAGTAAAGGGCGGAGATTTGCTTCAGTAGTAACCCCACCCTGTAAGCCAATAATAAAAAGCCTTCCATCCAAATTCAAGCTATCAAGATTTCTTTGATAGTAGGATGCTCCCATACAATCAAGAATGACATCAACACCTGCCACCACACACAATTACACTGTTACACCATGCTTCTCTACAGAACAAAAATCATAAACATTAGAGGTACGACTACATAAAATATTAAACGCCAAGAAATACTACCTTGTCCACCAGTTTCCTCCTTTACCCTCTCAACAAAGTCTTCTGTTTTGTAATTAATAGCCACATCAGCCCCAATACTCTTACAAAAAGCTAGCTTCTCCTCACTCCCTGTCAAGCAATATCCAATCTAGATTAATATTTCGGGAAACACTGCTTGGAATTTAAATAAACCAGAACGAGCAGTTTCACTAAACAATATATCGGACAGACAGCTAATCTTCAGTTCTCCATATTTTGAATACATTGGAAAGTGACTATTGTTGAATAACAGGATAAATCAGTACCGAACCTGCAGTAACAAATACTCTTGCCCCTCGATACTTAGCTATCTGAATTGCAAATGTACCAATCCCACTAGAACCACCATGAACCTGAGAGTGAGATAGAATAGATTAAAGTTAACATAACATAACTCTTAATAAGGTAGCAAAGTAGGGTCATCATACATTTTCTAGGTAAGATCCAGTGAAAATCCTTGAGCGGTCAGGGTGATATAATGAAGATAATAATAGTAATATAGAATTTAGGGTATGATGAAATACCAACAGGGTTTCCCCTTGAGATAAACGACTCGTCATGAAAATAGTAGACCACACAGTGCATGCGACCTCAGGAAAACTAGCTGCATCCGTGACGGAAACACCTGGTGGAATCGGAAGCACTTGCCCGGCGGGAACAGCAACTTTCTCGGCATAACCTCCCCCGCCGAGAAGAGCACATACCTGTGAATTAATAATTTTTAGTAACAGTGAAACGGTAAATATTGGAAAAGGGAATTAGGTTAAGAATACCTGATCGCCGATTTTCCACTTGGAAACGTTTTTACCGATAGATAGGACTGTTCCGGAACATTCGAGACCCAGGTAGGGACTGGCACCCTTAGGGGGAGGGTGGAAGCCCTTCCTCTGGAGGGTATCGGCTCTGTTAAGGGCAGTAGCGTGGACTCCGATGAGAACCTCGTCCTCTTGGAGTTGGGGATCTTCAACTTCTTGAAGCTGCAGCACTTCAGGACCCCCCGGACTCGTTATCACTATAGCCTTCATCTTCTTCCCTTCCCTCTCTTCACGCTTTTTAGACCCCACCCTCTCTACTTCCTTATTCACGATTTATACTACATGATACAGGAAGTAATTACATTTAATATTGGCAAAAAATTATCATCCTGTATTCCCTCATACAGTAACATCTACTAATTGTAGCATTCTTTTCCCACCAAAAGTTTAAAATCTACATTCTTAAATATTTAAATCCCTAACCAAAATTCTATTAAAAGTTGAGTATATAGATAAGCTGAGAGATCATAATATGCCTTCGTCAAAATAGACTTAATATATATTTAATTGGATAATGGTAAATGTTGGTTATTGAATATTTTATAATAAAGATTAGGTTTAATCATATCGTACATTCCTTTTTGTGCAGGTTTTTCTTAAATGGATCTTTGTTTTCTAAATAGTCTCAATTAGGTCTCTTGTTATGTAAAATTGATAAATTTTGGACCTCACCGTTAATTTAATTGGACGACGGTAAATCTCATGTAAATAAAACAAATCCAATATTTTTTAACGCAATCCAGTCAAATTAACGACAAGATCTAAATTGATTCAATTTTACATAATAAGAGACCTAATTGAGACCATTTAAAATACAAGGACCCATTTGAGAAAAACCTGCACAAATAAAAAAGTCCGAGATAATTAAACCTAAAGATTATTCAACTTCTTAGGTGTTACCAATAAATGACGACATGCCTCTATAGTAAGGGTCCATGTCAAGAAAAATTATATTCAGTTGGAGAGAACTGCAAAAATTCCCTACACAATTTCAATTGTAGTATAAATTATAATAGTTTCACCTCTTATTTACTATTTAATTTATTTCTTATAATATTTATTTACGTGAACTCCATGGACTATGAATATTCTGCCCCGAAATCTTATTATTACAGTACCAATATGAACAATTTGACTTTTACTCATAGTTTTATGTCAGGGGCAAAAATGAGTGAAAACTAGAAGACCACTACTTACCAAATGTGTAAGTAAAATTACAAGAAATATATGCACCGAACATTCAATACTCATTCACACAAAATATCAATATTTATTAATTCATACAGACTTATGAACATTCACCTTCACTTTAGTATAACTTTACAAATGCATTTCCAAATATGGGTCAACAAACTAAAAATATACATTTCATGCCACAGCAATCCTTTCCTTCTGAAATAGGGAAAAAAAAAGTTTGCAAGTTGGTAGGATAGTAATTATGCTAATCCTCCAAACCGAAGCAAATAGTTTAAAAAGACAAGTGATAAAAAATTGATTGAAATTAAATGGTTTAATCTGAAAATACATATACTCTTCTATTAAACAATTTCAAAAGCATTTAAGTATAGATGTCAGTGAAATTTGTTCATAAATTATTAACAAGACGTAAAGTCGTATATCCAAAAAATGCAAATTAAAAATATAATCCATTAAAAAAGCACTTATATCAGACAATAACAAAATTACTAATTGCTTAGCTACATTAAAAATTGAGGTGTGACAGCATCGCACCACTTTGAATGATTTGAAAAACAAAAGTTCGCAATTGACAATTTGGACAGTCACAAAGCATTTGCCTTTACACACTTTAGCAGGCCTTATGACATATCGGAGCCTGTTACAAGGAGTTTCAAACCCTCTATGACTGGAACACAGAAAAATAATTAATACCACAAAAATATGAGAAGTTGATCACTTCACTCAGCTTTCATGTGATCAAATCAAGTACTACATAGGAAACTTAATACGAGTGAAAAGGGAACGCATCTCAAACAGGTTCAAGAATCTTCATTAAGTTTTGCAACTTCCAGTAAGTCTTGACAGAATTTATTTATTTTAACAAAAATAATTAACTAAAAATGAGAAGCAATGATTCTCCATAATATTACCGTCTTCATATCAGTTAAAACTAAAATCTAAAGCTAAGGTAGATATAGCAACGACAATTGTCAAAAGCAGTGAACTAATAGAGAAATGAATCATACCTCATCGCCTAATACAGCATACAAACAAAACTTCAACCCAAATAGCCCATCATACAAGATTCACTAAAACTAAGAGGTATGACCACCCAATGTGTGTTGACACGACTTCCCAATATCCAGTCCCATAACAATAAGGTTTAATTTCATAAAGAAATGACAAGTTCCCAGCAAATATTGACGGAACATAATCATCATTCATTGTTTCATAAGCAGAAGTGCAAACCTTAGTTCATACAAAGGTCAGATTCATCAAAGCCCACTACCCAAATTGCTATTGCTATAACAAAACATTTACCCGAACAGTGCTGGTCAGATAACAAATTTTCAGCACCTGCTACCTCAGACAGGGATAACTGTAAAATTAAGGATCTCATCATCCACAGCACCGTATAAAACTCAAATAAAACAACAAATACAAATCACAAAAACATTTTGAAGCAAAATGTGCCCATCATCCCTGTACAAATCACAACGCCAGAGACGTTAACCATTGCACATTCTAACTACACTAACAACACAGCTGCGCAATAGAGAGTTTCGTGATATAACTAAGTGTTTACAACAGGCATGTTAAAATTCAGAGTAGTATAAAAGGGAAATGCAAGCAAAAATAACAGACCGATAGAAAGGGGCAACAAGTATTAAGCGCGTAGAAAATAAAAGGATAAAATATGGTTTGATTAACATAAAACAAAAACTTTCAAAAAGGATAATGAATATTTAAGATAGAGAAACGCTACAAAACACTGGTTTATATGATAAAGAGATTAATCAACGGTTTGCATGATGTCTTCGGGAGCGAACTTGGTGCCCTTCTCCTTATCAGCGGCGGCGCGACCCTTCGCCTTGCGATCGAGAATGGCCTTGCGATCTTTGTCCAGTTTCAGCTTCGTCACCACAACCTTGGAAGGGTGGATTCCTACGTTGACAGTTGAACCATTAACCTTCTCGCGAGTGATGCGCTCGATGTGGATGACCCACTTGCGACGGTACACCTGAGTCACCTTCCCCTCGCGTCCCTTGTACGTTCCACGAACCACCTGCACTTCATCCTCTTTCCTCACCGGAATCGAGCGCACGTTGTACTTGGACCGGAGCTCCGCTGAGAGAGGAGCGCTCATCAGCACCCGCCGCACGCTAGACGGCGCAGTGAAGTGAGCCTTCCGGCTCTTGCGGCGGCTGCTCGATACTCTTGGGTTGAACTTCATCGTCTCTAGCTCTCTCTATCTCTCTCTCTCACACACCCTCTTGCCGCGGCTTCTTAGGGTTTCTCTGTCGATCTCCTATATATTGAATGTACATATATGGGTTGGCCTAGGGTTTTAATTCTTTCAAGTGGGTTACGGGGCCTTTCTATTTTACCATGGACCCAGGGCTTATTAAGTTCCTGCACCCCCTCACTCGTGAAAAAGACTAAAATACCCTTTATATATGCATCACATTATGGTATTGTATTCTACGAATAAAAACTTACGTATGTATAACGCAAATGTAAATTAATAATAAAAAGCAATGCAGTGTGCTATAAGCAAAATAACTCAAAACTCTCTTTATATAACACCCCACCTTGCTTGTACTATAGAATTCAACTTGGACATACTTTTAAGATAGATATTGGAATCTTGCACTCAATCAAAACCGTGCCATGTGTTACGTGTTCCTTCAACACAATCATATGCATCTCTACATATATATATAGATGTAATGTTCTATCATGAATAAAGCAAAGCTTGTGAAGTCAGTGAGAATTTAGTGAAGAGATGATGGGTAGACATAGAAGTTTGTGGGTGTCTCTTGTTTCATTTGGATTTGTCTTGTTCTTTAGCTCAACTTTCATTGGAGTGCCTAGTGCCCTTGGCTGGAGCAAAGAGGGTCATGTCATGACATGCCAAATTGCACAGGTAAAATTCAATTTCAATCTGTTAAACAACAATTAATGCATTTCACTTGGCCAACACCACAACACAATACGTACCAATTCATCATCAGAAGCATTTGGTTTTTGATATATAGGCACTTTTAGAGCCCGAGGCATCAGAAGCAGTGAACCGTTTGCTACCTGACTATGTGAAAGGCAACTTATCAGCCCTTTGCGTATGGCCTGACCAAATTAGACACGGCTACAAATATAGGTGGACAAGTCCTCTTCATTTCATTGACACACCGGATAATGCTTGTTCCTTTCAGTATTCAAGTAAAGTTAAACATTGCTTATACGTGTGTGTATATATATATATATATATATATGCTAATTCTTCTTATTATATGTTCTCATTAAACCTTTGAATTATGCTATAATTTATTGTTGTTTGTTATCATAGGAGACTGCCATGATTCCCATGGTGTGGAGGATATGTGTGTTGCTGGTGCTGTCAAAAATTTCACTTCCCAACTCAAGCAATACAGAGAGGGGACATCTGATCAACGATGTAAGGAGTCAAATTTGAAAACAAAAAAAAAAAAAAACTCTTCACCTGTACTTTTTTTCTTAATGTTTGTATGTTCTCCTTGATGGTTTCGTTCAATGCCTTTAGATTTTGTATCTTACAGATAATATGACGGAGGCGTTGTTGTTCTTGTCACATTTCATGGGAGACATTCATCAGGTATGTGACAAGCTTTTCAAAGTCTTGTGAAGTTTCTTACATACTTTCCTTTTAACAAAGCTTTTGGGAACTTGTCTTTTAAGCCAATGCACGTTGGATTCACCACTGACGAAGGAGGAAACACGATAGAACTACGCTGGTTCAGGCATAAATCTAATCTGCACCATGTATGTTGTAACTTCAACTTCTCCATCATATATCTATTCACAGATTACTTGTATGCATTAAAGTATTAATTTGTTGTCTATAATTAGGTGTGGGACAGAGAAATTATCCTCAGTGCACTAGCAGACTATTATGATAAGGATGTGAGCCTCCTTTTCCAAGACATTCAGAGGAACTACACATATGTAAGACTAAATTTGTCAGACATCCTTCCTAGTATTTATTAAAAACTTGAATTCTTTGATTGATTTCAAATGAAAACAAAATAATTTGTGTGCTGTGTACAGGGAATCTGGGTAGATGATATTTCATCTTGGAAACATTGTAATGATATCTCTCAGTGTGTAAACGAGTGAGTTCTCTCTCTATCACCTTCAGCTTCCACTTTCTCTTTTCCTCTGGCTGTTAATGTTCACATTCCTCACTCTTTTGGAATCGTATAGTTGGGCCAAAGAAAGCATACAAATTGCTTGCAAATGGGGTTACGAAGGTGTTAAACCTGGAACAACTCTGGCAGGTAACCCATTTCACCAACCATGTAGTCAACCAGTTATTTAAGGAAATAGTTCATGAAACTGCAAGCAAACTCATTAGAAGGTTAAAGGATTTTGTGGGATGACTTTTTGTTTGTGATTTTTTTGTAGATTATTACTTCGACTCAAGGATGCCATTTGTCATGAAACGAATTGCTCAAGGTGGAATTCGATTAGCCATGGTTTTAAATAAGGTGTTTGCTGCCTCTGAAGAAGGATTTACGTACAACAACAACAACGTAGGAAGATAGACTCATTCATATATAAGTTGTTTAAACTTTGTTACTGGAATTGTCGTCTATAACTTAGTTTGTTCAGAATTTATTTAATTTTATATAAATATATATACAATTCTATTATTGTTGTTCACTAATTTTTTAGTAAGTTGTTTTTAGTTTAAAAAAATAATAATAATTTAGAAAATATAAATATTTTCATAGAAAAATGAAATTGGCAAACAAGTCTACTTAAAAATAATTTTAAATTAATAAACTATGAATAAATAATTAAGAGAAATAATAACAATAAATATGTATTTTCCTTATTAAAATCATATTAAACACAAATTAGAGACACATTAGAATTATTTTATAAGAGTTATATATATATATATATATATATATATATATATATATATATATATATATATATATCGGGTTTTAATAGACAAAAATATCCTTATATATCATGAATTATAGCTTTTAAAAAACTAAAAAAAAAGAAACTCTCAAACCCTTACTCACGTCCCTCGTTTCTCTCAACCCTTCATCTTTCATCTCTCATTCCAACCTTTTCTCTGTCATCCCTACTCTAAGCCCCAGTTGATCTCTTCAATTTCACCATCTTCACTAATCTCTCTAATTTCATCATCTACATACGTTGAATCATCATCTCTAAAAAAAACCCTGCAGTTATATACGACAAAAATTATAAAATGAGAACTCATTATAAAATCATTTTTTTTGTAAGAAATTGTTTAACAACTTAGTGTTTCTTATTTTTTTCCATGCCAATTACCAAATCTTTTGATGTCATTATGCTTGTGAAAATTAGATAAAATTATATAAGACAAAAGTTATAAAATAAAAATTCATTATAAAATCATTTTTTGTAAGAAATTGTTTAACAACGAGTATTTTTTATTTTTTTTCAGGTCAATAACCAATTCCTTTATGCTTGTGTGAAAATTGGATAAAATTAGATAAGACAAAAATTATAAAATGAAAACTCATTATAAAATCATTTTATTGTAAGATTATTTAACAGCTAATGTTTGTGATTTTTTTCAGTTTTGAGAATGAAAATTATTAAAATACCTTTAACCTTAAAACTTAGAATCATGATATATAAGGGTATATTTTTGTCTACTAAAATCCGGTACACATTGTTACAACTTAGCAAAATATATATATATATATATATTGGGTTGTTAATGTAAATTATTAGTGCATGAATGCTACTAATAAAAATGATTATTGTGGTTAATATATAATAAATTGTTATTATACGTTAAACTGTCAGTCAATATATATTGTGAATTTATGAAAAGACAAATATATCTAGAGAAATTAAAAGTCATCTTATTTTATGCATGAGTTCCATTACCCTTATTGCACATATAAATTTTATTTTGCTCACATCATCAAGGTGATCATAGTAAACAAGAAAAAAAAAGAGTAAACACACAAACAAAGATAAATGAATAAACTAATTTTACCAAAGAACACATACAATTTGCTTATAAAAACAAATAACGAAACACGAATAAAATGTGTTGAAACAACTTGTTCATCCAAACTACCAAAAACCAAGATTAATTCATAAGACATCTATAGCCAATAAAAACCTACTAAACTAAGGACCTCTTGTCACTCTTTATAACATACCCCAAATTTCTCAACTTGAGACTAATGTAAGGATAATCTCCAATACGAAATTTCTATATTAATACATACACAATATACATAATCAATATAAGAACTTCTCATACCACCTATCATCCACATTCATAATCATATCACAATTTATAATCGTTTTCAATTTCAAATAAACAAATATCTAAATTATTTAAAACCACTCATTAAACATAAAAACTACACAAATTGTACAACAGAGAACGCTTAGCACAAGGTATGACACTCAGCGTAAAAGCTCTTACACTTTTGCTCACTCAATTCTAGAAATCTCTTGCTTAGCAAATTAATTAATAAATTTGCTTCATACTTACAATGATAATTGATGTTTAGTGATATTCTACCACTGCTCAACTCCAAACCATTAACACTTTGGTCTCTTTAGTGATCGTATGAGCCTTTAAGCCTTATCAGAAACCTATGATTTAATAATATACAATTATTTTAAATATAAACTCAAATAACAAACAATGTTATAATATGATGTATAAAATATCACTACAAATAAGATCAACCCAAATTATAAATTTAAAAGAATTTAAAGTTAATAGATTTATTTTATTTTATAAAATGCTATGGATGGAAAAGTTTAACATATTTATTAGTTGAAATTAATTTTAAATTTTTTCTATTAATATTATTTTCTATTAACAACTTTAAAACAATTTTAAATAAAATTCAATATAAAATATAAATTTAAATAAATGTAATATTGTTAAAAATATTTAATAAAATATTTGCATAGTATTTATATACAAATTAAAACTGATTTCAATTTAAATAATAATAAAATTGTTTAAATTAAAAAAAATTAAGAAAAAATATAAAATAAAATGACCAATTCGATATTAAGAAAATGACACGTGTACGTAACATCATGACATTGTCTCGTTATTACATTGTTACATGACCTGATATCAAAACATGTAAAAATTTTTTATTTAAAATATTTAAAAAATAAAAAAAATCAAATAAACTACAAAGTAACATGTAACACATATGTAATATTAGAAAGTATTAACATGAAAAGCTTAATTGCATTAAATTTTTGAAAATAAAAATTATATTAAAACATAAAATAAATGGACCTAACTAATATTTTTTAAAGATCAAATAAATAATGGTAACGATATAAATTTACACAAATTATAATAATACTTGACACAGTATTTGATTATCTAATATTTGTTAATAAAATATTTCACATATCTTAATAATATATATTTTTTAATTTATTTATATTGATGGTTGTTTCAAGTGTATTATCGAACTAAAATAGAAAAATAATTTCCTTGTGTAAAATATGATAATCTTTTTTGCAATATTAGTGAGAAAGAAGACCTATATGCCTCTGTATTAACCCCAAAATTATATGATTTATTAACTATTATCTGCCTTTTGTTTGGTCAGTGTGGAGATTCTACCCGCGACATTAAACAAAGTAGTCTTTCTTCTGGAAATTAGAAATAAATAACAATTTTGGTCAATAGTTATTCTCCAATTTTATAGCTTTTGCCGCCTCCATTTATTAAGGACAGTTTGGTTAACAGATTTTAGGTCAAACACTGCACTCGTCTCAACCACATTTTAGGTCACTTCCTCGATGCGAATATGCTATCTTCCTTCTTCCTAACCTAACGTCTAGAATCCTAAAACTGTGTATAATATTATTTAATATCTAAATACCAAGATTTTAATATTTCAATATATATATATATATATATATATATTTAATTATTATTATATACATTAAGAACTATATATATTAATCATTATTATATTGAGTACAAATAAGTAAATAATTCTAACTAATATTTTATGTACTTAATTTTTTTTATTTTCATTATCAAACATTCAATAAACATGGAATGATCAGATCTGTCTCCAGTTTAATAGGCGGATCTGAAGGGCAGCTCCACCAAACCAAGTTTCTCATTAGTACGGACGCGTCAAATTCTTTTTCTCTATTAAAGAAATAAAATAAACACGGAATCGTGATTTGCATTCGCGCTGTCTAAACTTGGCCGCCAAGTCAAAGAAAAGGGCAAATCTGACAAATCGCTGCATAAACGTATGAAACCGTCATGACACCTTGTAGCCCTAAAAACGCATTTCCGTTTTCTTGGCTCTAGTCTTCCATTCTCTCTGACTCCTTCTCTCTTTCTTTCCCGCATTTTTGGACACGCATTTCTTGTTGCGAAAAAAAAAAATGTCTAGCGTCTCTTTCTTGCAGCGTCTCTCTGGCGCTTTCCGTGAAAACCAGTCGCGTTTTAAGCTTGTGCTGATTTGCACCGCCGTAAGGTATACAATGATACCATTTAACTTCTTTATTAATCTTGTGTTTCGCTATTATTTTTTTCATCATGGACTTAAAATAGAATTGTGTTCCTCAGTTAGTAACTGTTGTGTTGTGATCGTGCTACTTTCATACTATCATTTCTTTACAGCGAATTTCATACTTTCCTTTTGTTTCAAGAACTGAAGAGGCTAGATCCCTGCATTGCAGTAAATATGAAACATATTTTTCGATATTGAAATGTCAGAAACATTAACTGTTCACTTTTACTAGTTGAATCTTCCGAGGCAACTCTGTTCTACTCTAGCAATTTTACAGGATTCGTTCGGATTAATTTACAAGTTGAATGTAAACCGTAATATATATAGATCCATCATTTAGGATGAACATACATACATATATATATATATATATATATATATATATATATATATATGTATGTATATAATCATTGATGTGAATGGTTGATGCAGTGGTGGTGGTCTCTTGGCTTATGGTGAGAGTGTTGCACCTGAGGAGATAATTACCGAGAAGAAAAAAGTGGTGGTTCTAGGAACTGGCTGGGCAGCCACAAGTTTCTTGAAGAATCTGAACAATCCTAAATACGAGGTTCAAGTAGTTTCCCCGCGGAACTACTTTGCTTTCACTCCTTTGCTGCCTAGCGTTACCTGCGGCACCGTTGAAGCACGCAGCATTGTTGAACCCATCCGCAATATTTTTAAGAAGGTGATGATTTAAAAGACCATGACATTTTATTTACTGTTTCGTCTTAGTTTTTTTCAGAAATAATAACTCGAAATTATGTGTTAATGTATCTCTCTTTTATTCAAACCCACTATTAAAAACAAAAACCCACTTATCAAATATAATAGTATTTTAGTTTAAAGCGTTTTTTTGGAAAACGTGTCAAAGTATATTTTTATTTCTTTTTTAAATTAGATTTATTATATACGTTTTAATAAATTTTAAACTATTATAAATAAAGTATAAGTAAATTACCAAGTAGTATTCTTGCAGCTGCATGTTTATATGTTTTACTTATACGCGGTACAAAAAG